TCGAAATCGAAATCGAAATCAAGGGCTACCATTCCCCAGGATGTGATTCGCATACTCGTCTCTTCCATGGGCAGGAGATGTCAGGCAACTCCGATTCCAACGGCGGACACACGTGTTTTTGATGATAGCTGACATTCACCTTGGACTTTTCCTATGTACCGATAACTGAGATGACTACAATCACCAAGTGTTCTCTCCACAACATTTTGCTCCTTGTACGGCTCCTCACACAAATCTGGCTTTGCGTTTCTCTTTTTAAGAGTATATATAATGCTTTATTGTATCTCTGAATCAGAAAATGTACAATTGTGTAATACAATTTCTTCTTTTCGAACACTAGTACTACGATGTGGTAACATCATCTAGGACTACTGACGTTTTACTACGTTAAAGTTTTCATTAGACCAGAACAGACGTTGAGTGGCAAAAGATCTTGTGTACATAAAGGAGTTTAAAGCACAAATATCTGGACTCCTGAACTCCTGAATTGGACTCCTATGCTTATACACCTGAAGAAATCCATTGTTTATATATATATATATATATATATATATATATATATATATAAGAATGCATGAAGGCGTTTAAGCTTTTAGCGTTTGAAGGCAGAAAGCTATATATATATATATATATATATATAAGAATGCATGAAGGCGTTTAAGCTTTTAGCGTTTGAAGGCAGAAAACCAAGGTGACGCAGGCCGCCGATTTTTGTGAATCCCACAAGGACTTTGTGGTGCTGACACCGATTTTTGTGAATCCCACAAGGACTTTGTGGTGCTGACAACCAATAAGTGCACACGGAATGAATTTGGATTATTTTCCATACCCAGCCGAAGAGAAAATTGCCGCGCCTTGAAGAGTTCCATCTGACTAATAATCCAACAGAAAGGCCTGATATACAATAAATTACTTAAATTAAATGAAGTAGTGTGATTGAGTAACTGAATGTTGTTTTGTGAAGAAGACAGTATCACAATTACATCATTGCAGCTTGCAAATAATCGTTAGTGGGCCAGACAAGCTAATAGGCAATGAGCGACGAGGACGCAGAATAAGAGACATGTGCGGCTGTTCCTTCTTAAAGACGGTCATTGATTCGACTAAATGTCCTTTTAGGCTTGATAAATGATTTTAATCAGTGTGCATTTTAAATTATTGAACATTAATTTGGATTCCCGTATGACTTTGAACATCTGGGGTATCCGTTAAGACTTTGGTTTATTAGATGCATAAGCAACAAATACAGAATATAACAAATGTTAAATAGCAAACCATAGCATGACCAATCGGTTGCTCTGTAATGTCAAAATGTATCATGACCTCTTTACAAACGTATTAGCATTAGTAAAAGATCTCCAACTGGATATTAACATGCAACATACAACACTGTAAATGAGAATTTCTTATGTACGGGGCTGTTAGTTGTTGTAATCCTCTTGGATCTGAGATTTTCGGTTACTTTGGTGCTCAGGCATATAGGTAAAGGAACCCCTTCACCCCTCCTTGGGTATCAGTCTACACAACAGCATCCTCTACAACAGCAGCAGCAGCAGGTCTGGACCAAAGGGTAATTTTCCATATGATGTCTTCATACTGCACACTTGTCTGTTGTTGTCATGTTTACAATATGTCATCAATCATAAAGGCTTCAAATGTGTGCTGAATTTTGGGTTACAACACCGAAGGTTTGGTCATTTGTTTCTGTTTTTTTAAGAGTGTGTTTAATTGAGACACAAACATGTAAGAATATGTGAGAAGCCCATACCTGGTGTACCCCGCCGTGATATTGCTGGAATATTGCTAAAAGCGGCGTAAACCAAACTCACTTACTCACTCACTCACCTGCACCAGCGTGGTACTGTCAGAAGAAGAATCGCAAACGGAGCAAAGTGAATTGCAGCAGCCTATTCCACTGGGTGGCCACGCATATCTATTCCAGGTGCATCATGCCATGTTAGAAGTAAAGACAAAAGCTTCAGCTTTCAACTACAAAAGTGCAACTATTGATATTTATGCTATTTTCATATTATGGCGGCTAGGAATATTCTGGGAAAATATTTCCCCGAGGTTATAATGTAAAGTAAATTATTTTTCGTGAGGCCTTCTGAGTGTCCTACACAGAATATGCTGTGTTGGGCTCCTAACACATGCACATAAAGATGGTATGTCCAGAAGCAGTGACAGATTTAATACACTGCGTCTGACAAAATTCCCAGCCCCCACACACAATATGATGCGAGGTGAGGTGAAATGTGGTTTAACGTCGCGTCCAAGATTATTGCACTTATATAGCGACGTGCATGCACACGTGTGTGTGTGTGGCTGATTGTACTAGTCCGGACTAATGCCGATTTATAGTGCTAGCTCACTGAGATACCTTGCCGCAAATTAATATAAATACCCCACTCAGACGCAGTATACTGACTCGGAGCCGACCAGTCCTTGTTTTAGCCCCTTTATGCCGAGCGCGAGACAGGGTCACAACAAGTACCATCTTTTAACGTCTTTCTGGTATGACGCGGCCGGGGATCGAATCCCGGACCATCCGCTCTCCAGTCGGACGCACTACCACTAGACCACGGAGGCGGTCACACACAATATGAAATGGTCGGACCTTTAACAAGAAACACTGTGTGTTTGGTGGATGCAGATTATAGTCCCATTTAATCCCGTGTTCTGCGGTGTTCAGTGGCTTAGATGAGGAACGTAACTGCGAAAGCAGACTATCCGGCAACGAGGCAGATAACATATTCACGTCAAAAAGCCTGTAGATCCAATTATGCGACTATGTCGCTCAGGTCTTAAACTAAATAAATGATGCTAAACTTAATTATATCCAATATAAAGCCCTTAAATTAGCATTGTGAACTAGGCCTGGTACCTCCGCATTCTCTTTGGCATAATCTCCATCCGCCGCCGTCGGCACCAAGCACTCTAACTTACTGGGCTGGGGCCAAATACAAGTCCATCTACCAAGCAATACAAACCAAATATCAAAACATCAACAAATCCACACTTTTAAAAATCAACCTCAATCCAACACAATGAAAACGGTAATTTTTGCAATATCCCAGAAGACCTTCACCACATTTTTATCCTTTGCTCCCTATACTCTTCACAGAAACAAACTTTATACAACTCTCTACCTTCAAACCTAAAACACAATCTTTCACTCCTTTTCAACCCTCAAAATCCCCCGTCTGTCTTCTCAGCTATATTCAAATCATAAAGAGTGCAAACATACCACAAAGACTTTAGACCCTTCCAAACAAGGCCTTCTCAAACGACTTTGCGCATTTCGGATGGAGATCGAAATTCCCAGCTCGGATTGTCTTGTATATGCCCCTATTAACTATCAGCTTAACTGATATATTTTATTTATATGCCCCTATTAACTATCAGCTTAACTGATATACTTTATTTGTATGCCCCTATTTACTATCAGCTTAACTAATATATGTTATTTATATGTCCCTATTAACTATCAACTTAACTGATATACTTTATTTATATGCCCCTATTAACTATCAGCTTAACTGATATATTTTATTTATATGCCCTATTAACTATCACCTTAACTGATATACTTATCCCCCCTCAGCTAGATATTTTATATTTATTTGTAATAGACCACGTTTATTTAAAAACCCTTTTTTTGCCTCCAGAATGTATCTGTTATTTCTGTAATTATTCCTATCAGGTATTTTGGGGACAGGTTATTCTATATTATACCTACTTTATATTTTTAATAGTTCCATCTGCCCCCGTCCACGAAATTTGGAACACCAGATGTGGACGTAAAAACCCCAATTGATGATGATGATGATAATGATCAAGGATTGTTATTTGTAACATAATGTTGTGAAAGATGAGTATCAATTTTTGCTTGTTTGTAATTTTTACCAACATCTATGATGTAAATATATTCCACAAAATACCACCTTTTCCCGACATTACATAGGTTTGATATGTTAATGTCATCAAATAATGTACCCATAGAACAATCTTTAGCTTCCACTTATTAACGATTTTTGTATGTGAATTGATGTATTGTGAATGCTCTCTCTCTCACTCTCTCTGTCCCCTCTCTCTCTCTCTCTCTTTCTCTCCTATTCTTCCTCTATCACTCTCTCTTTCTCTCCAGCTATCTATCTCTCAATCGCTATGTTACTCTGTAAAGCACTATGACCCTGTGGCCTACACAACGAAATGAAAAAGGATTGATTGATTGATAGGTAAATTAAATGAATCCATGTACTATAAGAATGAAATGTGCCTTTTGACTGTTAGGTAGCTTCACCGAAATCATTTTGGCATTCATAAAAATACATTTGCAGTCCAATCACCTGTTTTCCTTCAAGTTTTCTTTTAAAAAAATTAGATTTACAAAACAAAAATAATGTTACCGTACGAGTGTGGCCTTGACTTTTAGCATGGCTTTAAGAATGTACTTTAAGAAAAAGGCAATAGCTTATAACGAAACCTTGCAATCGCCTACCTGTGTGTGACATCTGTTGTTCCACTGGTGGCCATGACATAATGTTGGTATAACACGTTTATTCTCCGTGATCTAGGGGAAAGAGTGTCGGCCTAGAGAACGGACGGTCGGTAGTTCGATCCCCGGCCGCGTCACTGTAAAAGACGTTGGAAGGTGGTACACCCACCCACCCACCCACACACACACCCACACACACACACACACACACACACACACACACACACACACACACACACACACACATACATCACACACATACATCACACACACATCACACACACACATCACACACACACACACACTCTTCCACCTACACTCACTCACACACACACACACACACACACACACACACTGCATACACACACCCATCCACCAAGAAAACGAGTTACGACCACACCTATAATGCGAGGCAACATTGCAATTCATTTAAGCTTGTTCGCTGCAGTACTGCATCTGTCGATCTCCTGATGTCAAGTGTGTGCTATTTTTAGATTCAATCATATTCCCCCAGTCATACAGCGCTGTGTCCCGCGCTGATGTCAACGCGCTTGGAAAAAGTGACTGTGACGCTTGTCTGCGGGAGGTGTGCCTTCTCTTCGAGGTTCATAACAGTGTAAGCATTTTCAAACAACACTGTCTGTAATCAGCAACGTCAAAACTTGGCAGTTAACGTTCATTACATGCATGCGGTCTCCCATGTCGCCACTCGTAATGGATGACTTCCGGCCGTGCCGTAAGGCAATAACACTGAATGTAATTGTATTAGTGCCAGTATTTCAAAACACTAGTCAGTCTCAAAGCACTAGTATGGTGCTAAAATGTAGTATGATCAAACATGAGAAGCTATGACAAATAGACCCCTGGGTCAATATTCCCTATTGTGAGTCCTCGGTAATGATTCCCCTGGCTTTCGCTTTCACTGGGGAATCCCCTTATTTCACCGCTGTATGCATTCGTGACCAGCTCGTGTTATTCCCGGTTACGGAAAGGGGCGAGTGGTGACGAAAGCGCTGTATGCATTCGTTTCTGCTCGCCTCTTTCCGTAACAGTATGAGCACCACGCCACAGGTGATTATGCTAGAAAAATACTTATGTAGGTAACCTCCCATTATTCATACGTCCAATTTGTCATACACCTTAAAACAACAAAGGTCAGGGCTGAATGCACTGATTGGTCTACCCTATTTTACCTAATTATTAGGATGGAGTGATCCATTCGAAAAGTGATCAATATGAGTGAACTTATTTACAAGGAATAAAAGATAATGTAGAAAAATAAAGATATAAATATATACAAATCCTTTATTAACACTGGTAGAAACATTAACAATGTATATCAATCTTTTTTAAGCACTATTTCAATAGCACTGTATGTCTAAGTTGTCTTTGTTTAGCACTATATCGATAGCACTGTATGTCTAAATTGTCTTTGTTTAGCACAATAGCAATAGCACTGTATGTCTAAATTGTCTTTGTTTAGTACAATATCGATAGCACTGTATGTTTGAATTGTCTCTGTCTTACTCCAATCCTGCATAGAAGCCTGCAGCACCCAGGAACTGGAGTGGGGTCTTGAGTCCCTGGTGAAGCTGATCTTTTAATCTCCTTAGACGGTTTTCAGACTCTCTGTATAGAATCTCTTGCGGTTGGGTGGGGCTGCGCCGAAATCCATCTTGGCCATCTTCGCGCGGTCAGCCCTCTTGTTGTGTTGTGTTGAGATCGCTAGAATTGTATTGTCTTCCCCGTCGCTGAATAGAAGGTAGGGCTGGCCGTCCATGGTCTTTGTCCAATCCTCAGTCAGATTCAGATTCGCACGGGTGGCACAGTCGTCTAAGGCGTCCCATGGGCACGCCAGAAACCTATGATTGTGCGTTCGAATCCCGGTTTGCCCCGATTATGTTTCTAGTTTTGTCAGCACCATACCAGTGCTCATGGGTTTCACCAAAATTGTAAACGTCTGTGACATGCATCACCTCGGGCTTTCATCCCACATCAATCGCTCACTATCTTATTAGGATGAAGACTTACCAGTGTGATGCCTTTTCATTTGACCTTCAGGTGTGACCTCCAACATGGCGTCGGCAGACTCGACTACAGACGTTGATGAAGACTCTACTGCCCCACCACATGGTAAGGAGTATGACGCCTTCATTTGCTTCAACATCGCTGATAAGAAGTTTGTTGATGATTTACTGAAGCATCTGGAGTCTCCTGAAATCGGACTAAAATGTGTGGACCACAGGAGGGACTTTCGCGGTGGCCAAACTATAGTGGGAAATGTTGATGAATTTATTGAGAAGGCCTTGAAACACGTGCTCATCATGTCACCCAACTTTGTAGAGAGTGAATGGTGCAAGTGGGAGACTGAGGTGATGGTGACGATGTCGGTGGAACAAAAGAGAGATAGCATTATTCCTGTACTACTCACACCCTGCAAGATCCCCCATTCACTGAATACACTGACCTACATTGACGTCCGTCCTACAGAAGGTTCTCGGTACAGATGGAGGGAGAGGCTCGTGAATTCCATCAAAAGAACAGGTAAATAAAAGCAACAGATCCATTTCATAATCGTATTATAAACAAATCTCTGCTTGAAGTCCATTGTATGATTCCGATTAGGTCATAACCATGGGAAAAGTATTTTTGAAAAGCAAAGGCACAGAAACGAACATGTGTGTGTGTTACATTATTTATAAAAGCTTCTAGTTTCAGATGAAGAAAAGTATTATAAATCTTGTCATCACTTATGATGAGTAGGTCTTTATGAATCACTGCCATATAGTGATGATACTAGGTGTTCGCGAAAAGGTGAGCGTATCCTGACCCACTGGTGGCTCCCCTCACTAACACATGCAAAGTGACGTGTTCACTTGAAAAATCATGGGAATATATGGTTCAGATCAAAATAGGGAATTGCATCGGACATTTGTTTTTGTCATTTATGTTTCAAATGCAACTTAAATGTCAAACTTTATTGGTTTTCAACAAAATGAATTGAACTTTCTTATAATTATTTCTAATCTGCCTTGAAAGGCATATACTTAATGTTTTAATGAGTGAGTGAGTAAGTTTGGTTTTACGCCGCTTTTAGCAATATTCCAGCAATACCACGGCGGGGCAATGTTTAATGAACAGCATGTATGTATACATTTATCTTTCCACATACCACTGAAGATAATTTAGCGGAACACACTGATAAAGTGAAGTGTTTCTGGTTATGAGTGAGAATGGGACTTACATATTTTTTCACCTAAGACTAATGCCGGTGCATGGTCAGGAATTAATGAAACTGTGAGAAAACGAAATACTTCAATATTGGTAGAGCGGAATACATATTTTTAATCCCTGCTTACACAAATAAACACTATTATTGTTTCAGATTTGAAAGGCAGCAAACACAAGGTAAGTCTATACTCAAACATATGTCCACACGAAACCAGTTTTTCTACATACTTAATAGGAAATGATGATTAATAATCAATTTGTGATGACCTTCTGAAAATTGTTTAACTAACTACCTCAACCATTACAGAACCGTGACATGGAAGGGGTTGTACAAAGGGCAGGAGACAAGAAAGACGTCTTCAAGACATGTGTCCAAAAGTATAAGCAAGATAAAGGAAAATTTGAGCTAGAGAAAAGGGCCCTTGAAAGCAGTGTCCGGATTGCATTTGATGCTGTCTCTAAACAGATATCAGCTACATTAGAACGTCAGAAAGAGGAGAAGATGGATGAGATTCAGAGACTAATGGATACACGTCAGACGCCTCTCGTCCAAAAGATGAAGGCTGCAGAAGACATATTGAAGTTGATGGAGAAAGATTTAAAAGATGACGTTCACGGTATCAAAAAACTTGCGGATCTTCTGGATGAGTATGAGAATCACGAACAGAAACTAAAACAACGGTCCTTCCTCGAGTTTGTGAAGTCTGACAGCCTGGTGCAGATTTTGACAGACCAGATGTCTAAGTTTGACGTGGGACATCTGAGAGGGATGGACATCCCACAGCTCAGATCACAGCAGGACAGGGACAACTTTCTCAAAGGTTTGATATCAGATTTCTGTAACTGACGCTAAAGGTTGAGTGAGGTATGCCTGGTAGTTTAAGATAGAATGATCCATGGAGAGTATTCCCATACGGAGGCGGGATGTAACATGTTCACAACTTTGTTTGTTACAGAAATACGCCCTTCCTTGGACATACTGCCTGAAACAACAGATCCCACTCCATGGAATGTCATTCGATGTAAGTACAAGCATGACTACGTGTCTGATAACGGTTCCACAGTCTTGTATTGGTGCTTGCTGCTACGTGGGAAAACAACTGGCTTCAGCTGAAGGTGATTCTACAGTCGGCCGATGGCATTGGATAACATTGCAACGTCACAACGTTACAACGTCAACTGTCACGTCATAAATAAACATCGCCACGTCTAAGGACTGCCGCTATTTAACGCCTAGTCAATGTCACTTTTAACAAAAGAAAGAAACCTATTTATTACCTCATGCAAGTACAATATTGAGGCACTACTTCCACATTCGTTTTGTACATGTTCGTGGAATTATTAGGCCGCACAGGTTTAAGTTGAATAATGAATTTTGATCCTGGATGCTGACGATCAAACATGTCCCTTCTCTACAACAGGCGTACATTGCCATACGCTTATGAAAGTATACGTGCGAGAATTGTGGCCGCACGACACTGGTTCTACCTCTTCCTTTAAAGTAACGCAGAGATTTTTATTGGTAAAATTCCTTTGTGTGTCTGTGTGGTGATGTTAATTGTATGAACAAACAGACTCTTACAATTTGAGTCAGTAATGTGTGCTCAATAATGGTCAGAAACCAAATTCCTCATTAAAACCCTCGGTGAACGAAACACCTAAATTAAAAAATGTCAAACTGAAAGCAGTAATGGCGAGGGAGTATATGCACTAATATCGTTGTTTGCACATTCAGGCCGTGACATCAAGTATGATGAGAAGACGGTGCATGGACGTCGCAGTATCCTGCCTGACGGAAGCCTGTTAAACCGCGAACCGCCGGAACCTCTCGCCAACCCCGACGGGAGACTCAAGAATTTTTTGGGAGCTGTAGGAACGACGACATTGACGGCAGGTGTTGTATACTACTGGGAGAATAAACTGGACGTCGATCTGGAGAAGGAATTGAGCAAAAGGAACTTTGTGTTTACCGTTGCTCTGTCCACAAATGGCGTGTTTGATGAAAGTCAGGTTGGAGATCAACTTCCTACAGCCATGAGTATAGCTGCACGTGCATGTGCAGACCATGAGGCAGTGTGTCTGTATGTAACTAAGTACACATCTATGGTATATCACAAAGTCCTCACAAAGAACCGATGTGGGAAGTGGCCGGCCATTGCACTAGGTTTCCTCCTTGACACCGTCAGACAGAGGCTGACCGTTTATGACGTCACAAAGAATGAGGAGATAACCAGTGTGGAAGAGATCGGGGACGTGGAAGAGTTCACTCCTCAGTTCGCTGTGTATGGTGGCCATGTTGGATCAGTGAAACTGTCATTGATCACTGGCGAGGATACGAAAATATCCCCTGAGATATTGCAGAACATTAGGAAAAGTATTGAGTAAAAAGATTAACGTTTTGAAATTTTATTGAAATTGTCTGAACGAATTGTATCAGTTATGCCTCTGTTTGAAAAAAAACATTTGAAGAATAGGTGTTGTAAAAATTTACAATTGTAGACGTGCTTTGATTACAATGAAAACAATTCAATGCTGATACACAAAAAATAAATATGACATAGATGCCAGTGGTAAATTGGATAATTCCTCCCTCGGACAGAACCTGGGCGAAATATAAACTTGAAGTTGCTGTTGTTTTTCTGTATATGAATTATTGTTTACCCATATATTGTGACGCTGTGCTAATTAGCGTCATTTATCTTCCATTTTTCGAAGTCAATAGTATATGTATTTGTACAGTTTGAAAGAGAAACAATTCAATGTATATGAATTATTGTTTACCCATATATTGTGACGCTGTGCTAATTAGCGTCATTTCTCTTCCAATTTTCTAAGTCAATATTATATGTATTTGTACAGTTTGAAAGAGAATTGTATTCTCTACCTTCATATGTATTTGCTTTTATTGTCACTTTTCAACTTTTTGTGTAATTCATGATTTTGTGTCACTGAACACATATTTTGCCCATGTGTATTCGCTGTTTATTGTCCCTACCAATTTCATTTGAATATTTATTGTTGTATATTTTATATCAGTGTATAGAACTTTTTATGACCTATACGCTCATAGTACATATGTGTATATACGCATAATATAATTTTAGTTATATTACAAGAGACCGTGTTCTAGAAACACACTCTCATTAACAAGACAGGGTTGTTTAGCTTTAGCCAACGTGAATAGGCTTATCTCCCACTGGTTAATTAATTAATTAAGTGGCCATATCAGTGATGGTCAATTAGGGGCTCTTTCCTTTAAAGGCCGACTCAAATCTTAAATAAATCAGTAGCGTCTCGGCGGACTAAGGTTACGCTGCTGGCTGTTCACTGCTGTCTTACTGCTGGACCGACCGAGGACTCTTTGACGGGATTTGATGAGATCCCTCGAACTTTCTCTGAACTGTAAATGTTTGGATAACTTTGTCATACCCACATTTGCTTATCTTACCCCTTATTATACCCTTTTTGTAAGTTCGTAGACTATTCTGCTTGCTCTTACATTTTATTATAGGGTTATTTGTACTTGTAGGTTCATAGAACTAGCTATTTGTATCTTACAGTACTTTGGGAAGATATTTTTGGGTAAAATCCTTATTTATGCTTAAAGCGTTGTAGTTCTTTTAAATCCACCTATTATCCCTTAGAGGTAATTATCCCCTGTCCTTTTGAATTCCCCGCTAATTGGTCCAATTGAGAGCTTATGTTAATTGGTCACAGCTCATTGTCACAAGGTGTGAATTCCTGTCAACAACAACAACAACAACAAACGTTTATTTCGCTTCAAGGTCATAGCTATGACATATTGAAGGTACAAATGGAGATTTATGGTGACACGAGGCAGGAGACGGACGTGCGTCAACTATACGTTTAACTGCAACAGACTCATAAATTTAATTAAACATCTTGAGGATTTCTTTTACAAACTGTGCTAGTTTTCTTTGTTCTAATACACTTTCAGTATTTAGTAGCATATCAAGTGTAATCGTACTAGGTTTTGTAAAGTACTTCTTTTGAATGTATTGCTTACGCAAGTTATGCAGAAAAGGACAAATTAGTAGATAGTGATATTCGTCAGCTAAGTCATGTTTATTACAGTGACTACAAATTCTGTCTCCTCGTGGTATATTTTCCCATCGCCCCTTTTCTATTGGTAATCTATGGTTTGTGGATCTTATTTTAGTAATCGGAATACTGAGTCTTAAGGGTAGCGACAGCAGATAATTTTCTAACTGGATTTTATGTTTAAATATTCGGTAAAATACTGCCTTGGGAGAGTTGTTTATCCAACTTGTCCAGGTCTTGCTGAACTGATCAAAGATACGTTGTTTAATAACACATTTTAATACGTTTATATTTGGCATGAATTGTTGGGTCCATATAAAACTAAGGCCTAATCCATCAAATAGTCCTTTAACATATTCGAGCCAGCTGTATTTATGGTTACCAGAGTCTGCAAATAATATATTATACATAACAGTACACAATTTCGTTGGTTTATTATAAATTATCTTAGACCAGTAAGTCAAAATTATTTGTTTAATTAAATCCGTTATAGGGGTTCTTCAAAGCTCTCCATATAAAAAATAGTGGGGTGTGCTTTTTTTTACCCTTAGTATATATTTTAAGAAGTCCGTGTGAACCTTTTCTATCATATCTAGTTTACCAAATCCCCAAATTTCGGAAGCATATGTTAATTTAGGCACGATTGTTTGATCAAATAATAATAGCTGGCAGTCTATTGGTAAGTCAAGGTTACGTATTCTAATATATAGTAAATGCATAGCTTTTCTAGCTTGAGCCACTAACGACATCTTGGCTGCTAGGAAGTTTCCAGTTCGTTTAAAAACCAGCCCCAAGTACTTATATTGATCTACTACTTCAACAACATTATCGCCTATCTTAAACACATCATTGTTTTTTCTTGATCCAAATACAACCACCTTAGTTTTATCAATATTAATATTCAACTTCCACTGTTTACAATATTCATAAAAAACATTCATGTTATTTTGAAGGTCATAGGCGTTATCTGCAAGTATAATAGTATCATCTGCATATAGCAAAACAATAATGTTTTTACAGATTCTGTCTACTTCAACTTCCGATATAACATCAATACCTTTACATATTTTCTGTTGTAGATATTCTTCAAGGTCATTTAAGTACAGGGCAAAGAGAATTGGCGATAGATTTTCCCCCTGTCTAACTCCGATATCACTAGAGAAAAACGATGAATTTTCACCATTAGCAACAATACACGACTTTATGCCTTGATACATGTTGAATATGATCTGGAAGCATTTACCTTGTACATTTGTTTTTATTAATTTTTGCCAGAGTCCAAAGCGCCAAACGTTATCGAAGGCCTTAGAGAAATCTATAAATGTACAATATAGTTTCTTTTTGTGTGCCTTAAGGTATTCAATGAGGGAGTGCAATACGAACATGTTATCAACAGTAGAATATCCGTGTCGAAATCCTCCTTGTGATTCTGATAACAAATTATTATTTTCTAGATAATTATTAATTCTTTCACTTAAAATAGAGGTAAACAATTTACCGATGCAGCTTAAAAGAGTAATAGGTCGGTAAGAGTTCGGATCTTTACGATCACCTTTTTTATAAATAGGTTTGATCAATCCGAGGAGCCATTCTTCTGGTACTATGCCTGTATCAAATATAATATTAAATAATTTATGATACACTAGGATAAACAAATCAATAGTATATTTCAAATATTCATTTAGGATTTCATCTCTTCCAGGCGATTTATTTGTCTTAAGATTCGAAACTGCCTTCGTAATTTCTGCTATTGTTTTTTCCTGGTTAAGGATATGGTCATCGTTTCCGTCAACTTGCAGTTCTATATCAGAGTCCATTTCTGGAGATGTATTAATGTCAGACGTAGACGTTGGCATATCTACTGTCTTGTCTAGCGTGAGATTGGTTAGCACAGCCTATTTAGTTGTGAGTTTGTCAATTAGCTCCATACTCATAGGTGTTTATCTATCAGGTCCTACATACCTGTTGTTGTAACCCCTACTTGAGTCAGTATCTTTGTTGTTATTGTTATCTCATAGTTAATTAGATTGATTGCCTATATAAATAAACTGTGAGTTTTAGATTACAAGCCACTTGTTTGTATTATTTTTTCTATCCTGACAACTGCTATTCACTGCCTGACATGCGGGTCTAAGTCGATTCCCCATGGCAGACTAGTGAGGCGATTTTGGTCACCGTATTAATATCTCACTTCTAACAGTTCATTATTTTCATGTGTTATGCATCCTCAGAAAACCTGTTTTTACTATAAGAATGCAATTTCTTTTCACTCTGTTTACTCGGAACATATGTGTAAATATACTAGTACATTACTATTTAATCCCTATCGAAAATGCAGAATGTTTTTTTTTGCGTTTCCTGAAAACATAGTTTCTGTTCCTTCGTGAATAATCTGTAAATAGTCCATCCCAAGAGTATGTGATTGATTACTGTTGAGGCTCGGGAAATATCCCCTTACATGGTTCAACACATTGGAAGGCACAATGATTGGGTGAGTGAGTGAGTGAGTGAGTTGAGTTTAACGCCGCTTTCACATGTATTCCAGTTATATCAGGGCGTGTCAGCTTAATGTGGGAGGAAAACCCCAAGTGATGCAGGTCTCAGACGTTTACCACTTCGGTGAAACCTACGAGCACGGGTATGGTGCTGACGAATCTAGAAACATAATAGGGGCGAACCGAGATTCGAACCCACAATCATATGTGTATGGCGTGCCAAGGGACTCAACTCTGCACAGCGAATCGCGGCGCCTTAGACGACTGGGCCACCCGTGCCCCCAGTTTCTTCAAATGATTTCAAATGCAGGCTGTGCGTCGGCCTTCAAATCGCTCATGGTTATAACATTTCAGTCAGTGTATATGCAAAGGATGCACAGCATATCGATATAAAGGTTTTACCTTCAACGTAAATAAAAGCAACAAAATCATTTCCATAAGCAGAGCAATAAAAAATATCCAGGGACATGCAGACCGTGCTTGCGCTGTTCCTTTCCACGGTTTGTCCCCCTACGTGTCATGTACACATTTCTATACAAAATTACATGAAAGTTTCTTAAAGAACTTCATCCGTCATGGGTCTTAAATTAAACAAAATTCAGATTTTGTTGGGTACAGGGTATTCATGGTCAAGTACCGTATTGATGTTTCATACACTTTTCTGGATTTCGAGTTATTTTGCAATTCATCGTTCTCATTTGGAGTCAAACGGACTGTAGTTATATGTTGAAATACGCTTTGTATCTGTTTGTTACTCTGGTATAGTTATGCTTCCTAGAGTAATGCTTTACTAACGTACATTGCATTGTTTAGTCTGTTGAGTAAAGGGGCCACCAGTCGATTATATAAATTAGAAATTGACATAGTTTTAACAACATGGAGCTAAACATGGATGAAATGAATACATTTACTTTTGCTTTAACTCTATATCTACATATATCATTATGTTGTACGTTTTGACGTCAGCGTGTGTGCATGGTTCACTGCAAAAAGTGTGTGCATCCCACTTTATGTGACAAGAACAAATAGGTCATTCCCAAACAAAACCCAGGACGCTTCAATGTGAATGTCACACACACGCACACGCACACGCACACGCACACACACACACACACACACGGATTGGTCGCTTGAGACGCACGCACGCACGCACGCACGCACGCACGCACGCACGCACACACACATAAGCGTTTTCCATAGTATGGGAACCCTGAGATCGCGTACATCTCTTAGAGGTATTCTTGTACTAAAATAGTTCCATGAGAAAGGCAAACATATTTGGGACGATATTCTTACTTATCATGCTATGATGTTAACAAGGACAAGCCTACAGCATCTCTCTTTTATAATTTCAAGATTCAAAGTGTACTGGAGGTTATTTGACTTCATGGTCTTTCTGAAGATGTCTTATCTTTAATTTCAAACTGGAATGACGCCTTACACCCTTGTATAGGTCATGGTGACATGTCTTGTAATGTCATTCCTCATCATACAGACTATGTAATATGTATATGCTCAAGATTTGGGTGTTGCTAAACTTTTGTTACTGAGTATACTTTCAAATTAGGTCAAGTTATGTCCCTTCTATGTCCCTTCTATTGACCAATCAAATTCCATCTCGCATATCACTTGCATTTGCTTCAGACCCGTTTTATTACAATATATATCTTGATTATCGATCTGATCGACTTCACTGGGCGCCGCCATTTTGTATGATTTGTTTGTTTGTTGTTTATTGCTGAGTGCGGCGTTAAACAACAAAAATCGAAGCCCTACTTTGCATGCTTTGGGAGCTAGCATTTTCTAAAACTGTAAATATGGTGTTTTGCGACTCCGAGCGAAAATTCCTGTTGAAATTTGTACCGCTGACTTACCTAATTTCTTGTTTATAATCAAAACACGCTAAATTGGTGGCGTCGATCAGCCCGCCCATCGTCACTTTTTTCATATAAGAATTTTTACATTCTTTACATAAACCTAATGGTATATTGAGTTTATCTACATTTGTTCCTCTCAGTCGATGGCACTGGTGGCTCAGTCGTCTGAGGTGCCGCAACTCGCCGTGTAATGTGGCATCCCTTTGGCACGCCACAAACGTATGATTTTGGCTTCGCATCACGGTTCGTCCCTATTTTGTTTCTAGGTTTTTCAGCATCACACCCGTGCTCCTGGATTTCACCAAAGTGGTAATCGTCGGAGACCTGCATCACTCCGGGTATTCCTTTGACCATAAGCTGACATGCCTTGATATAACTGGAATACTGTTCAAAGCGGCGTGAAACCCTACTTACTCCCTGGGCCCTCTGTCGTGTTCCGTTCGCCATTGACGACCTGAGCTTTGTTTGTTTGTTTTTTAACGCCGCAGTCAGCAAAATTCGAGCTATATGTCAGCGGTCTGTAAATAATCGAGTCTGGGCCAGACAATCCAGTGATTGATAACATGAGCATCGATCTTCGCAATTGGGATCGATGACATACATCAACCAAGTCAGCGAGCCTGACCACCCGATCCCGTTAGTCGCCTTTTACGGCAAGCATGGGTTGCTGAAGACCTATTCTACCCCGGATCTTCACGGGCCGAAGACCTTAGCAATAACATACGCCGCACACATATCATGCTTTATTGTATCTCTGATTCAAGATCTTTACATGGTTGTGTGCTCTGTGTGATACACTTTCGACATTTCGGACACAATGAGCACATGTTGTAGCATCATCTTGGACTACTAACATTTTACATCGAACGAAGGGGAGATGAGGTAACCAGAAAATGTAGTGTAACTGTTGGCTGCAGTCCCATGCAAATATGCAGTCCTTGCTGCTTCCACCCACACCTGGTCGACAGTCTTCAGATGAAGAATAGCGGAGTTCCCTGAAGCCGTGTGACGAGTTGGATAACAATAGGCGCTCGCTACTTTGTTGTGGTTGTGATGGAGCTGCAGGTATGCCTCTTTACCATATTGAGACATAACATGGAAATGAAATGCGTACACTCCACTCTGGGGACAATAAAATATGCCCATGGTCCTGTTATAGACGTTTCCAGTGTTGAGGAGGATCTGATCGTAGACAATGACTCGTCCTTGAGCAAAGGTAACATCGCGCCCAAAGCCTGCTGAAAAGGCAAGCTGGTAGAAGCTCTCACCACCCACAGCTGAAAGAAATGTGTTCATTGTTACTTATAGTCATCTAACAGGTGAATAGTTTTAATTTGGTAAACCCCTTCAACACCGTCACATATAAAGGAAAAAGACTATCGCTTCTGTCTTAAAAAAAACTAAATATTAAATTCTTTTTTTTATTCATGCGACATTGTCAGGAACGGATAAAGCGACATATCGTAAATAGAAATGACTTATGCATGTTCGTAGCACAATTTGAATTTGAGTTATATTTATCAGTAAGGACCGTCCACCAAATGGAGGTACAGAATCAGCTCATCTCCGTAAGTGTTACTTACAGGGATGTTTATACAGCACATAGGTGTCAGTGCAATATAGGATTATGGTAGGCGTGCATCTGGTTCTGCACGATTTAGGCATGCATTTCAAAATACAGGATCATAAATACATATGCTAAGATCTATTTTCATAGTCATAAATACATATGCCACGCACCCTGTCACATGTTGTGAAAATGATATTGGGGGTGAAAATAACAAGAGGAAGATTTTGATTCACATGAAATCCAAAGCTCAACCATACATACATGCATACAGACACACGCAAGCTATAACATATACTGAACAGCATTGAAAACACACCACCATGAAAATGGATGTATTTTTATCCGGGCTTAAGTCATATGTAAATATATAAGTGAATGAGTAACATACGACGTTCTGGACGAAACATAAAGAAGAACAGCTTGTCGAAACACATTCCTAAATATTTTGGTGACCGACATCGCCAAAACGCAACAAATTGCGTGCACATCATGGAAAACGTGTTTTGTTTCACGGGAAGCATGCAAAATAGGGCTATAAAAGACAGACTTTTAAAAGCCACATCACTTGTTGCTGCAGACGTAAAGGGTACTGACACAAGAAATGCTAAGATTAACAGCAGAGGAACGTGAACGTGAGTAGTATAGGTAATGATGGTTCTGCCGCAACTCCACTGGAGCAGGATTCATATACCTATACTGCTACCACAGGAGGAATTTTTTATGCCAAAATGATGATGCGATTTAATGATAGTCATAAGATTAAGTTAAATTGGCTCTAGCTCACCAATACCTGGGGCCAATCATTGCTTCTATTAGTATAAAAATGATGATGTGATTCAACGAAAGTCGTTTTAAAAGAAATATCAATATTAATTAATAATGGATAAAATTTACTATAGCCCACGAGGATATTGGAAAGGTGTAGGAGCAATAAAAAAATTAGCCACCGCGGCTAAGGTATCTAAAGATGTGGCCAAGGATTGGTTAAAGAAACAAGCGATGTGGCAGATATACTTACCGGCACCGCGTTATATACCGAGGAAGAAGTTTGATATTTTTACAACGAATGAAGTTCATCAGGCTGACCTCTTGTTTCTTCCCCACGATAAGGTAAAACGCAAAACGTATAAATACGCTTTAACCGTTGTGGATGTGGCTAGTCGATACAAAGAGGCTGAGCCATTAACATCGAAAGAATCAACAGAGGTAGCTAATGCACTGAGTCGAATATACAAACGCGGACCGCTAAAATGGCCTAAGCTATTTCAAGTAGATCCCGGTCGCGAGTTTATGGGATCGGTAACTAAACTGTTAACAAAGAACGATGTCAAAATCGTCCGTGGTGAAAGAGAGGCCCACCGCAGTCAAGCTATCGTCGAAAGATTTAACAGGACATTAGCGGAACGTTTGTTTGGCTATCAGTATGGGATCGAAATGAAATCCGAGCGATTGAGATCAACCGAATGGGTGACACGATTATCAGCCGTTGTATCAGCGCTGAATAATGAAGTGACGAGATTAATAGGGAAGAAACCATCCGATGCTATTAAAATGAAATCCGTGACTTCCGAATCTTCAGCACCGAGGAGAGGCAAAGAACGAAAACTTCCGGATAGAGTAAGGGTAAGATATTTATACCAGCCCGGTGAACTCGAAGGAGCCCTACGTCGCGCAACCGATCCCATATGGTCCCTTAAGACGTATAACATTAGTCGATTGGTTACGAAAGAAGGAGAGCCCATTCTTTATTATCTTCAAGATGGACCGGGTAGGGCATTTGTACGAGAAGAGTTGTTCATAGTTCCCGATGGTACGGTATTACCACCATAACCATAAGCATAGGTATTTACACCATCATTATCAATCCATCTCTTTGTATCTAAGGGGGATAATGATGTCTTGTTCATTCTTAATCCATATATCCTATGATCGTAACTTCTTAAAGAGTTCATCTCGTGTTTGAACGTTCTACCGTTGAATAATGATTCTTTATACTGTTCATGTTTGATATGCTTTTTTACAACATACTTCTTAACGCCCTTAGCTTTTCTTATCTCTCCATTATCAGACTTCTTTATAGAATACATCTTAGGTCTTAATCCCACATACTCCGCTATAGGGGTCCCAGCACATTCATCCTTCATCTTACCTAACACCTTTTTATTTACTACGCTGTGCAGTGGATTATCTTTAGGGTAATCGCTCGTGTCGTACATATCTATTTTTTCTGCCATATCTTTATACACATCCTCGGTTTGTATTTCCATCAACAAAGAATCTGTGTCGGTATATAACACCTCGCATCTATCACCGTATTGCTTCTTAAGTTCGTTGTAATAAAAGTCATACATTAAGTGTTTTGACAAGTCGAGAATACTCATACCGACATACACCGGTCTGTTGAATTTTATATTACTCTTCTGCATATGCAACACGGCTAAGTCGTTATCAAATATCTTGCTTCTGTTAAAAGCCGGACTGGCTATAAGTTTCCTGAGTCTTTCTTCCTCATTAGATCTGACTAATTTAACATCAACACGCTTCCTTAGATTCTCCATAGTTTTACCAAATACCGAGTTATTCATGAGCTTATATAGATTCTTTTCGAAATCGCTGGTAGCTATCTTTCTTAAATCTGTGTTCAACCTTATATAGGGCTCCATCCAAGGGCTTTGATCGAACTTTAGAACTCTGTGTATTTTCTTAAGTTTCATACCTAACGATAGATACAACTGGAGATTTCTGTAGTGAACTATATATTTTGTCTTATCCATCAAATTTGGTACGAGTTTTTCTACGTTAGCTAACCTACTATTACCCATCAAGGAGCGTTGATATTCCGACATCCAATCTTTATTAACCATTAATCTTTCGGGAGCTAGCGGATAACTGTTATGGTCTTTATGTAACGAACTTGGATATTCCAAGTCAACTTCTAGTATGTACCCTTTATTCACATCATTCACATTGATATTAATAACATTGATATTATCGATATCATCAACCCATTCAAAACCACCCGTGGGTAAAGGTTGACTCATAGCCCATCCGTACAAATTGTTAGCGTCGAGATATAATATGTGGGTGTCGGGTTTACTGGGATCGTATCCTTCCACTAATTTATTATTAGCCTTAGAATACCTTTTAGCTGCCATCGATATACCACCTCTTAATCCTTTCTCAATAAACAAGTGCATATCGTAATCTGTGAGTAGTTTTAGTTCTACACCGGTCTTCTTCAACAATGCATCCCACGATAGTCCGGGACTGGAATCGTACCATGCCGGGTCCAAGCCATATTGTTTGAAACACGTCTTTCTAAATATCTCGAATATATCGGCGAGTAACAGTACATCGGTTTTTAAGTACAGATCGTGATAATCGCCTAAATTCTTACAACCTAATTTATCCCAGACCGTCAGAGCGTGTTCATAATCGGCATCTGTTATTCTAGATTCTGTTAAGTTACTATAGAATGATTCGAGGGGTGGTAATTCAGTTTCTTCGAATCTAGACCAATCATCCATATATTCGTAAGGATATACACCTTTTCTCAGCAACAAATGACGAGTTATCTTATTGGTATATTTATTTGTTATCGCAAAGTTATCGGGATTGTTCGCATTAGCTAAATTGTCCAGGGAAGATAACAGAAACTGTACAGAGTCTATGAATCTAAGCCCATTACTTTGCTTTGTTCTAGATTTCCCATCCTTGTCCCTATAATGTATAGGTTTAGTCAACGAGAACGATATGTATTTTTCCATATTATTAGGAATGCACGTTAAACCGCCGTCGGTCTTCGAGATAGCTTGCATAATGAGATGTGAATCGTATCCCCTAAGGTTATGAAACACAACGGGGATGGGTATTGTTTGAGCATTCATTTTTAGTTTCAAGTTACACTCGTTATGAGCGGCTCCCCGATAATTACCCGTGACGTGACAATGATCTCTTACGGAATCCCCATCCAGGGGTTTATTACAAACGTGGCAACTCGTTGACTTCTTATGGGCCCTCCAATCATCCCTCGTCATACGCATGGGTATCTTACACGATAATTTTTCCCTGATTATTCTCTCTTCATTTTGTAGATATTCTAGGAACTTTCCCGCTGCATCGGGACCTCTGTAAATCACGGGCGGGTTTGTTTTCCCATCATACCTTACAACTATATATCCAAACCCACAAGGAATATGTTCTTGAGTTTTGTACGTAAAACTATTATCAGTATTGCTATGGTTGGTATTTTCTATGGGTTTGATAAGCGCTTCGAAGTCGGCGTAAATTACGTACGGTACTGGCATTTGATTACAATAATGTTCAAATTTTAATATATTTTTTCCTTCTTTAGGCATATCGATCCTGATAGCATTCTGTCCAACACCTCTACAGTCTTCTTTATGCGCTTCTAATAGATCTTGTCTGCTGTACCCATGCAGGCATCTTTCACAGAAATATTTCTTTCTAGCATGTTTTGTTTGATCGTATAGTAGCCTGTTTAAACTCTTTATCCACGTATAATGATATTTACCATCTTTTTCGATCAGAAATGAATTGATTCTGGGGATATTTTCCGCAGCGGAGCTTATCCTGTGTACAACAATTCCTTTAGAATGTCCGAAAACATTTATAGCTAAATTATTTTGCTTTTCTACCTTATCAATTTGTGATATTGGTGTAGGTTCGTCTATACCATCGAAGTTG